CTGCACTGAATGGTGAGGCTTGATACAGGTTGATTATACTTCCCCCATTCAGGATACTATAGCCTTGCTGCTAGGCTGCACTGAATGGTGAGGCTTGATACAGGTTGATTATACTTCCCCCATTCAGGATACTATAGCCTTGCTGCTAGGCTGCACTGAATGGTGAGGCTTGATACAGGTTGATTATACTTCCCCCATTGATTCAGGATACTATAGCCTTGCTGCTAGGCTGCACTGAATGGTGAGGCTTGATACAGGTTGATTATACTTCCCCCATTCAGGATACTATAGCCTTGCTGCAAGGCTGCACTGAATGGTGAGGCTTGATACAGGTTGATTATACTTCCCCCATTCAGGATACTATAGCCTTGCTGCTAGGCTGCACTGAATGGTGAGGCTTGATACAGGTTGATTATACTTCCCCCATTCAGGATACTATAGCCTTGCTGCTAGGCTGCACTGAATGGTGAGGCTTGATACAGGTTGATTATACTTCCCCCATTCAGGATACTATAGCCTTGCTGCTAGGCTGCACTGAATGGTGAGGCTTGATACAGGTTGATTATACTTCCCCATTCAGAATACTATAGCCTTGCTGCTAGGCTGCACTGAATGGTGAGGCTTTGATACAGGTTGATTATACTTCCCCATTCAGGATACTATAGCCTTGCTGCTAGGCTGCACTGAATGGTGAGGCTTGATACAGGTTGATTATACTTCCCCCATTCAGGATACTATAGCCTTGCTGCTAGGCTGCACTGAATGGTGAGGCTTGATACAGGTTGATTATACTTCCCCAATTCAGGATACTATAGCCTTGCTGCTAGGCTGCACTGAATGGTGAGGCTTGATACAGGTTGATTATACTTCCCCCATTCAGGATACTATAGCCTTGCTGCTAGGCTGCACTGAATGGTGAGGCTTGATACAGGTTGATTATACTTCCCCAATTCAGGATACTATAGCCTTGCTGCTAGGCTGCACTGAATGGTGAGGCTTGATACAGGTTGATTATACTTCCCATTCAGGATACTATAGCCTTGCTGCTAGGCTGCACTGAATGGTGAGGCTTGATACAGGTTGATTATACTTCCCCCATTCAGGATACTATAGCCTTGCTGCTAGGCTGCACTGAATGGTGAGGCTTGATACAGGTTGATTATACTTCCCCAATTCAGGATACTATAGCCTTGCTGCTAGGCTGCACTGAATGGTGAGGCTTGATACAGGTTGATTATACTTCCCCCATTCAGGATACTATAGCCTTGCTGCTAGGCTGCACTGAATGGTGAGGCTTGATACAGGTTGATTATACTTCCCCCATTCAGGATACTATAGCCTTGCTGCTAGGCTGCACTGAATGGTGAGGCTTGATACAGGTTGATTATACTTCCCCCATTCAGGATACTATAGCCTTGCTGCTAGGCTGCACTGAATGGTGAGGCTTGATACAGGTTGATTATACTTCCCCCATTCAGGATACTATAGCCTTGCTGCAAGGCTGCACTGAATGGTGAGGCTTGATACAGGTTGATTATACTTCCCCCATTCAGGATACTATAGCCTTGCTGCTACGCTGCACTGAAGTAGGGTGAGGCTTGAAACAGGCTTGAGAAAGCACACAAATCTCCAAAAGGATCCATCCATTTTAATTAACATCCAATGCCATCTTGAGGGCCTTGTTCACCTGTAGTACCCTAGGCCAAGATCTAGTTTCTCAAATAAACATATTTTACAGGAAAACAGTTCTGAAATTAACTCAATAAAAGAGCCAATAATCATTCTTCATTTTCACAACTGAAACTGCCAAAGCTAGTCTTGTCAGATATTATTGACATGCATGGATTTTCTTGGATATATTTGTTTCAGGGTCTGTAACAGATCGCTCAGCAGCTTGCCAACTTCTCACAATATTGACAAAGCTGTACAAAGACAGCTATTTTTAACATGTTTGGCAAGCTAAAGGTGCATTTACCTCTAGATCAAAGAGTTTTCTTGACAAGCATGTTAGGTATTCATATACATTTCTGAACAGACATTTGTCAGGAAAACAGGTTGGAAAGGACTTGCCAGTCAATATTAGAGCAGCTATGCTGTTGTCATGACACACGATACTAATGTTTGTTGTATAAAGAGAATCCTGGGGAGGGAGCATGACACATGATGATCTATATCACGGGAGCATGACACATGATGATCTATATCACGGGAGCATGACACATGATGATCTATATCACTTGTCCCACCACCTCCTAGAGATCTGCCACCTACTGAATGGTAAAAGTGGCCGTCCACAAGGAAATGTCACTAGTCTTGCCTGAAACATAGTTGTCTTGGTCAATTTGGTTTCCTTCAAACCCTATCATAAATATAAAAGAAACACTTGCTGCATATAAAGTTGAAAGTGAATAAAATATAAAACAAGAAGACAAAGTTGAAAGTGAATAAAATATAAAACAAGAAGACAAAGTCATCAATATCTCCTGCAAAGGTAAATATTTGTTGTGAATTAATATAAAATATGTGATAAATAATTGTTATATATCAACCTATAAAAAGGCACATGTCCACCACTACACATATCTGTGTGACAAATTTGATGTACAAATATTGTGCAGATTTCAAGATTTACTCTGGAAATGAGGACTACTGTCATTTTCATCTGAGTCAAAATCATTACCATCTAATCTTTGAAGGGCACGTAGAGGTGAGGTGAAATTGGGTTTAACGTCGTGCTTGACAATATTTTGCTCATATGACGACGTGCATGCGTGTGTGTGTGTAGGTGCGGCTGCTTGTACTAGCCCAGACTTAAGCTGGTTTTATAGTGCTAGCTCACTGAGATACCATGCCGCAGTTAAGCATGAATACCCCACTCAGACACATTATACTGACTCCGAGCCGACCAGTCCTTGATGTACCCATTAATGCCGAGCGCCAGGCAGGGACCAACAAGTACCATATTTTAACGTCTTTTGGTATGACGCGGTCGGGGATCGAACCCGCGACCTTCCGCCTAACCACTACACCACGGAGGCGGTGGGCCATCCACATTTTTTATTGCAAGTTTCTCATCTCCAAGCTGGTGCTGATGAGTGGTGGGTGGGTGAAAAAAAAAAAGAAAACAAGAAGACAAAGTCATCAATATCCCCGCAATCCATGTCTCACGAGTTATGATTATGTCAAATATTTAGGTGTGTAATGTCAAAATACTCTTCATGATTATGTCTACGAGTTATGATTATGTCAAATATTTAGGTGTGTATATAGAAAAGTGGAAGGAGAGTATTGAAAGGTTTTTAAACTTCTGCTCCAGAAAGGAGCACTATCACGAATTTCAGGCTAAGTCGAACTTTTTGCCATGGAAACGCCAAAAATGTTTTATTCAGAATTCCAAAACTACCAAAAAGCACCAGTACACCACCAGATCTATCTATGTGCCAAGTTTGGTGAAGAAATATTCAACGGTTTTAGAGTTCTGCTCCGGAAAAGACAAATGTGCACGGACGGACGGACGCACTCACGGACGGAGTTCATTTTAATACCCCCCGCAAAACGCATTGCGGGGGATAAAAAGAAAGAAAGAAAAGTGCTGTTTGCCATCTTCTTTTCAAGCTGCCACGTTGTTTATTTTTGGAGAGATTTATTGCTTTTTAAAGTTTTTTTTGCCATGGGTCAACAGCTGTCGTTCACTGGTAGCACAGTGGTTGCAGGTCCATAGTTTATTTAATTTCCAAGTGCAATACAAACTGACATGATAGAAGATAACGGGGAAAACACCATGAAAAATCAGTATATTGTCGCAGCATTTCCGATGACAGAACATGAGACAGCGTAAGTCTTGGGCGTTATAGCATCTATGAAATAATGAAAACTCACTTCATATAGCAGCCCTTATGTTATTTCCACCGGCAATTCTTCAACTATTGCCGCATTCAAATTAAAAAAATAGTGCTCATGCTACCACCGACCTCAATGTAAAAACAATCGGAGATACACCTCCAACAGACGGACATGTATACCCTGGAAGGCCTTTATCGCCAATTTGTAATTATTAAACAATTGAAGAAATTCTGTGTACAATGTAACATTTAGTTATAAATATGAATAGGACCTGTTGATCAGCAGTTCCTCACACATCTCATTTCATTTTGGTTTTAAATTCTGACACGATGTTTCTGATGCATACTTAATGTATCATACACCTATGATCCAATTACTAGTCGCTTGCAGCATAAATACCAGTCATCATAGTTTGAAATAAAACATTTAGCCCTTATAAAATGTGTCCATCTGTCAGTGCTGCGAGTCATTACATATATGTTAATTTATTGATTTATTTCTTACAAAAAATTAACAGCATTTAACCTCTAAACATAAGTAGCCATTTACTGAGATTTGTCTCAACAAACAACAGATCATTCTGACCGCCCAACAAGATGTGTATGATAGAATTACATGACGTATGTATTTTCTTGTTTTGGTAACATTATGTTGATATACATTGCATATTACAGACCATATACTATCTAGTTATAGCTCTTCATGTAGATATGTGTATGCATATATTTACGTTTTACCTTTTAACAGATAATACTATGTATAATGACTGAATGAAGCTATGCATATGTAATGTAACATTAAAGTACACACACACCATCATACAAAAATATCACATAAAATCCACGACATGTACAGCTCCCATCGCGCATATGACATGCGCTGTCAGTTTAAGATTGGACCGTCTGGATCAGCGCACTTAGCAGATTAGTGAAGGGAAGATAAATTAAAACATTGCCCATTTAGATGATTGAGAAACTTTTCAAAATATTATATTTTCTTTTAAAGTTGACATTTGAGACACATTTTTTCATTTGATTGGGCTGAAATTATTGCTGTCGGCGACATTTTGTAAAATAAAATAGTGCCTCATGTATGTATATATAAACTAAACCACAAACAGTTTGAGGAGATGGATGAGGGATAGGTATTTTACTCACAGACTGTCAGAGAAGCATCTTCTCCATTTGTGTTGGCATTCTCTGTCTTAATGGGGTGGGCTTTGGCAGCAGCCTGTTTCCGAGACTCAACCACATCGGGCATAATGGCATCAATCAAGGTCAGAGACTCGAGTACTCTCTCTGACCCATCCTGAAAATGACATAAGCCATTGGTGCTGATTGATCAAAAACATTTAAATACATTAAATAGCAAGAAAAGTCAACACAAAGAGCAGAGCAAGTCAATTACATGGTGGCACCTGTGATAACCAGGTACCACAAAGTCACATCCTTTGTAGCAGCGTCCAACTTCTTAAGGACTACGCTCAGGCTCAATTTACATAGCATCAGTTGCACTTTTGATTTTTGGAGCTTGTACTATGATGTACACCTAATTATTAGGCTGTATTCTTGAATATAAGGTTTCAGGGGTGCATGTTATATATTGTTAACTTGTTTTTCTCCCATGAGTACCCAGATGATATCCCAGAATTCTTGACTGGTTTGTGACCTCTGCTGCGCCACCCACATGCACAATTGATAGTATATTTTATAAGTATAGATTGATCAATAAAGAGGAAATCTTTTTTACACAATAATATTTCCATCTTCATTCTTTTGATAACAAATGAAAACATTTTGAAGTTGAACCATCTGCCAGTGGTTAAAAATGTTAGGACTGAAAAATAACGAAGTCAGTGTACGCCTATATATTTTGTCTCATAATCCTAGTTAGTTATTATCATATTTGTATGCATTTTGAAACTTAATCAAATGCGCTCGATCTGCTTATATATACGTATTGTGAATTTATAACAATGTCTAGACTTTTTCTAGCTTGCCAACGTTGATTATATATTTTTTCACACGCTCGCCGTAAGTGTGACCTAGTGTATGTTGTCTGTCTCATTACACGGTGGAGAAAACAGAAGAAAGATTTTGTATAATGCTACAACAAATGAATAAAAACAAATTGCAAATATTAAAATTAAAACAGACTAAAGTTATAGCAACAATGTCAGGCTATTACCTTGTTCGGGGAATGTATCCATCAGGGTGTATTCAGTATAGATTAGTAAATGTACATACATAAACACTACCTTTTGACAAATCCGCTGTGCAGCATAAAAACAATTAATCAATCAGCGTGTTATCGGTTAATCCTTTGATCAATGTTTGTTTTTAAACTCAGCTGATAATTCCTCTTACTGCACTTCCATGCGCATATTACATAACATGTAATACATTTGCCACACCAGACCTCAATTTATAATCATGAGTATTTACTGCAGACACAAGAAATGCCAAATGGGAACCTTTTGAGCTAATCTGAGTGGTGTTATCACTAATTATACCTGTTTATAAATTCATCCCGCACAGCGGATTTGTCAAAAGGTAGTGTTTATGTATGTAGATTTACTAATCTATACTGAATACACCCTGTCGTAAAGTCTCTTTGTAAAACAACGTCCTTCCTTCAAAGGATTAACCACCAATACATTGATTGATTGCTCATTATTGGTTAACTAAATTACTTTTTTAAAGAATGGCGGACATCATGCAATTAGTTGCCAGGTGTGCTATCTTGGGTGACCAGTAGAACTATACACCAATGTGAAAAACATGAAAGGATAGATCACTTTTTCACACAATAGATTGGTAAAAGACACATGACATGAAACAGGATACTGTCAGCTGCAGAGGAATGGCATCTCATTCCTTTATGTGGATATAGATGGATACATTCCCTGAACAAGGTAATAGACTGTTGCTATAACTTTAGTCTGTTTCAAGTTTAATATTGGCATTTTGTTTATATTTATTTGTCATGGCATTCAACAGAATCATTTTTTGGACATGAAGTGTAATGAGACAGACAACGTACACCAGGGCACTCAGGGCGTGTGTGTGAAATATGATACACATTGGCAATCTATAAAATGTCTAGATATTACAATCATGTTATAAATTCACTAAGTATAAGCAGATTGTGTGCATATTATTATATTTGGGGGGCTTGGTGGGGGCCTGGCTAGTAATCCAGCGAGCTTGGAGGCAGCAAGAGTTGTATGCTCCCCAGGAAGTTGAGATTGGAAATACGATGTGCCGTTGTGATGGACATCCAATGATCGGGGGAAAGCAAAGCGCCTTTGAGCAGTTGTACTGGATATCGGTGCGATACAAAAGGTTGGTTTGTATGTATTTTATTAAGTTTCAAAATGCATACAAATATGATAATAAACTAATTAGGATTATAAGACAAAATATAAAGACGTACATTGACTTTCGTTATTTCAGTCCTAACATTTTTTACGACTGGCAGACGGTTAAAATTAAAATGTTTTCATGTGTTATCAAAATAATGCCATTTAATACAACATTCTGATTGACTAGTAGAGAACATTATTCATCAAAGTCTACATAATTTTACAACAAAATCAACATGAGATTATCGAGTAAGAAATATTTCATCTTTGTTGATCAGTCTATACTAATGCTATCAATTGCGCATGAGGGTGGCGCAGCAGAGGTAACGATCAGTCATGAATTCTCGGATATCATCCGGGTACTCACTGGAGAAAAACAATAACAAAAGCAACAACAAGTCCACGGAAATTGCTCTGGATCAGTGGCCCTTTAAGATAAAAACTGTATATATACCTATTTACCTGAGTGAATTTACAGATTTTTCTAGCAATGGCAAAGTGGGGTTGTTTAGTTTACGGATTCAAATATATCAAATGTGTGTTTTTAATATCATAGCATATGTAATAAACATCACATCTGTACATGACAAGATTGAATATCGAGGTAAAAAACACAGTAAATAGGATCAAATTGGATCAGTCATTATTCAGGCATTAAAAAATCTGAAAAAGTTTACACTGCTGGGATACTTCATAACAACCAGACAAGAACTACTGGGGATATTTCAAGTAACGGGCATCCACCCTTCCTAATGTGTCACTGTTTAGGTTGAAGAAAAACTGCTGTTTAATAAACACTATGAAATAATGATTTATGTGGTGTAGTACTCATTATAATCGTGTATGGTGTACAAGTTAACACTGTATGCAACACTAGATACAGTCCCCCACCCCTGCAAGGCCAACATGGGTGTGTATTCCACATGTATAATCCACATACATGTCAAGCTGTGTCAACTACAGTGTACAATCTATGTACTTGTGGAAGGAACAAAGTCTGGTGGCTGCATCAAGGGGTAGAAGTAGACAGTGTGCTGGGCTATCCAGCCACACAATGCTGTCATTGAGGCTGGTTGTGGCTGGCCACAGAACAAGGCAGAAAGAGGCCACAGAGGCCAGGTGGGACCATTGCACAAAGCCCAAAACACTCAGTTAATCTGGAAACCTGAGTCAGCACGCCTTAATTCAATACATATAGTCCGTTTCAACATTCACAGCCCTTAACCCATTTAGCTATAGCCTGCTCCAACATTCCTGGTTATCACAGCTGCAGAGTATAGTGTGTTTCCAGATTTCATTGATCATATCAACTGTCAGCTATGGCCTGTTTCTGGGGCTAAGCTGATTATAGTCAGTTTCACTCTCACACATCCATGCTGCCTTTGTGGCTGGGCTGGTGTGGCCAACATTACATCATATGACAACCAGTTACATCAGGTGTGACATAATGGTGTGAGCCACTGAAATAATAGGCGGGCGGGCAGGAAGGAGTGAGGTTTGTAGAAAGGCAGGTGTTAACGAGCAGGTCACACCCCAGGATTGATACACCAGATTACCCAACAGAATACATCACTTCAAAACATTCACAGGTATTGTTTATCATGCCTCTCTGAAAATTATCTACGAACATACACTGTTACACAACGCATCCACAGGCCGGATATCTTGCAAGTGCAGCATTCATCAAGATTAAATACTCGGGAAGTATTTTGTAGATATGTATGGCAACACTAAACAGATGCCAAAAGACTTGGTTGTCAAATCCCATGTTAGAGGGACTGGTATATATTACTGCCTTGAGTGAACAGGGAGCATTCCTAATACTTCCCTGTACAGAGACAGGTTACTGAAGATTTTGTAGGACCAGTATTACAAGTGTTTTGAAAATGAGATTATTTAGCACGCTAGCATTACAAAGGTTGTACCTCTCCGATGCTGATCTCTGCCTCCGTATACTGCAGGCCCTTCTGGATGATGCTGAGAAGGGCAGCTGGAGGCACCAAAGCCCCATTGATGTTGGACTGGCTGATATGACTCTCAATACCAAATGTGTATGCTGAATGCACAAACCCTGAAACAATGGCAACAATAGTGATGTACACTTTACAGGCATGTCACTGGGGACGGACACACCACACAAACAACACGAACACAAGTCACTGGGGGCGGACACACCACACAAACAACACGAACACAAGTCACTGGGGGCGGACACACCACACAAACAACACGAACACATGTCACTGGGGGCGGACACACCACACAAACAACACGAACACATGTCACTGGGGGCAGACACACCACACAAACAACAGGAACACATGTCACTGGGAACGGACACACCACACAAACAACACGAACACAAGTCACTGGGGACGGACACACCACACAAACAACACGAACACATGAACACATGTCACTGGGGACGGACACACCACACAAACAACACGAACACAAGTCACTGGGGACAGACACACCACACAAACAACACGAAAACATGTCACTGGGGACGGACACACCATACCCCACAGCTAGGATATATTTCTCTTGGTAAAATAATAGTTTTAAATATTATATTTTACCGATCACTGCAGCAGAATTCATCCCGTTATATTATTGGGTATGTTTTAACTAGATCACTGGGAAACGTGTGCACGGCTGATTGCTATTTCCGGCTTTACATACGAGACAAATACACATATAATACGATGCCTAGCAAAACAAATTAGGTAAATACTCTTGTCTAGTGATGTTTAATTGCAAATTTGACGTCTCTACAGACAAAGTCGTCTGTCTGTTCATGTAAAGTGATACAATGTCACATTCTTGTCCCCTCAAAAATGTTTGACGAAAGTGTAACCCATAGATAAGCTGAAACCCTTCTACAGACTGCTATGTTTGGTCCTCAAAATTCGGCTTATCTACGGTCATATACGATACATTAGTGTAAAAAGTGGGTCAGAATTTGGAAGAAATTGTGAGAATTTGATGTGATTGTGTAAAATCTGCAAAAGAGTGAATTGAACAGTCATCTTTTCTATATCTTGGTAGTCTGTCAGTATTTATTTTTGTACACGTTTTTGTTGATCAATGTAGACTTGGGTTGCTTGTGATTTCGTACAATCTTGCCTCAAATGACAATTAAAATTATAAAAATAAATTCAGGAGTTTTTAAGTTCTTGTAGATGCACCCTCAAGTCACGTTTTTTACAGAAAGCAACCACAAAAGCCGATATATTTCATTTATGCTCCTTATCATCACATAATTAAAAAAAATGACAAATATACAGTACTGCACTAATTTGCAGTATTGTAAAAGAGTTCAAGTGTTTACCTGGGAATTGCATAAGTTGTAAAAAATATTTAATTCTTAATCAGTGTAGCCGATTGTACAATCAATCATTGATCGGATGGGACAATCCGATTGCAACCGATAATCGATTATGAAATTTCAACCAATTCCCACCACTACCACCAACCCATATTAGAGATGAGTTACTTGGAATGTATTTTCCCATACTCACACCCATATTAGAGATTTGTCACTAGGAACATATTCACACACACATGCCCCTATAGAGATGTGTCACTAGGAATGTATTCGCCCCCACACACACATATTAGAGAGGAGTTACAAGGAACATATTGGCATACACACACACCCATATTAGAGATGAGTCACTAGGAATGTATTTTCGCATACTCACACCCATATTAGAGATTTGTCACTAGGAATGTATTCGCTCACACACACACACATTCTGGAGATGTGTTACTTGGAATGTATTTATGCACACACACATTGGAGATGTGTTACTTGAATGTATTTTCCCACACACACATTAGAGATGTGTTACTTGGAATTTTTGCACTCACATTTTAGAGATGTGTCACTAGGAATGTATTCGCTCACACACAACATATTAGAGATGTGTCACTAGGAATACATTTTCACACACACACATTTGAGAGATGTGTCACTAGGAATGTATTCACAAACACACACACACCTATATTAGAGATAGGTTACTTGGAATGTATTTTTGCACACACAGACACCCACCCACCCATAATACAGATGTGTCACTAGGAACATACACACCCATGTTAGAGATGTGTCACTAGGAATGTATTCGCACACACACGCACACCCATATTACAGATGTCTTACTTGGAATATATTTTCGCACACACACACATTTTAGAGATGTGTCACTAGGAATGTATTCGCACACACACACACACACATATTACAGATGTCTTACTAGGAATGTATTTTCGCACACACACACACACATATTAGAGATGTCTTACTTGGAATGTATTTTCGTACACACACACACACATATTAGAGATGTCTTACTTGGAATGTATTTTCGCACACACACACACACATATTAGAGATGTCTTACTTGGAATGTATTTTCGCACAGACACGCACACATTTTAGAGATGTCACTAGGAATGTATTCGCTCACACACCCATATTAGAGATGTGCTACTTGGAATGCATTTTTGCGCACACACATTTTAGAGATGTGTCACTAGGAATGTATTCACACACACACACACCTATATTAGAGATAGGTTACTTGGAACGTATTTTTGCACACACAGACACCCACCCACCCATAATACAGATGTGTCACTAGGAACATACACACCCATGTTAGAGATGTGTCACTAGGAATGTATTCACACACACAAACACACATTTTAGAGATGTGTCACTAGGAATGTATTCACACACACACACACCTATATTAGAGATAGGTTACTTGGAATGTATTTTTGCACACACAGACACCCACCCACCCATAATACAGATGTGTCACTAGGAATGTATTCGAGCGCGGACACACACACACCAAACACACGTATAAGAGATGTGTCACAACATATTCACGCACATACACCCATATTACAGGCATGTCACTATGGATATATTCTCACGCGCGTGCACGCACGCACGCCCACACACACACACAGAGGCATGTCACCATAACCATGTGTTGTTAACTTAACCGTTGTTTGTGGTATACAATACTGAAAACACAGAGAAATCTCCCCACAGAAAGCAGGTGACATTGCTCAAAACATGCTTGCTGCATGTGAATGTGCCTCCCATGCATGACTTTTTCCTTCATCTTTCAATCACTGCATCTGAAATAGCATTTGTTTTCCTTGATTTTACTATACATTCAATTCTCAGAAGTTTTACTTGAAACATTCCATGGTCCTAAGCAAATGTTGTAACAGTATCCATAGGTGAAGTCATTCATAATTATTTCCTAATTACATCAAATACTTGTCTGTCAAACACTCCACACTGACCAAAAACAGGGCAACAACATACCCGATTCCTGCAGGTAGCGATAAACGAGATAGTTGACCTCGTCACTGCCTAGGCTCATGGTCACTGAGGCTCACGAACCATCCAGGTAGATCGGGACTCACATCATCAGCAAAAGCTGCTCACACAGATTATCATACAAATATCATCATCACTATCTCACATCAGACAGCTCTCACTATCAGCAACACAGTACAATCTCATCACTATCATCATAATCTCATGTCACATAGCTCTCACTATCAGCAACACAGTACAATTATCATCATAATCTCATGTCACATAGCTCTCACTATCAGCAACACAGTACAATTATCATCATAATCTCATGTCACACAGCTCTCACTATCAGCAACACAGTACAATTATCATCATTATCTCATATCAGACATAGCTCTCACTATCAGCAACACATAGCTCTCACCTATCAGCAACACAGTACAATTATCATCATTATCTCATGTCAAATAGCTCTCACTATCAGCAACACAGTACAAATCATCACTATCAGCAACACAGTACAATTATCATCATTATCTCATGTCACATAGCTCTCACTATCAGCAACACAGTACAATTATCATCATTATCTCATGTCACATAGCTCTCACTATCAGCAACACAGTACAATTATCATCATTATCTCACATCTGACAGCTCTCACTATCAGCAACACAGTACAATTATCATCATTATCTCATGTCACACAGCTCTCACTATCAGCAACACAGTACAATTATCATTATCTCATGTCAGACAGCTCTCACTATCAGCAACACAGAACAATTATCATCATTATTTCACGTCAGACAGCTCTCACCATCAGCAACACAGTACAAATATCATCATTATTTCACGTCAGACAGCTCTCACCATCAGCAACACAGAACAAATATCATCATTATCTCACGTCAGACAGCTCTCACCATCAGCAACACAGAACAAATATCATCATTATTTCACGTGCTGCCTAGCTTACTGCCTAGCCAATCAAAAGGCACTAGTTCACCACCAGATCTATCTACATGCAAAGTTTAGTGAAGAAATATTTAATGCTTTTTATGTTCTGCTCTGGAAAAGACAAATTTGCATGGCTGGACAGACAGAGTCCAAAATAATACATGTTGCGGGGGAGAACTACAGGTTATGATCACTGTGAGGGATGACTGTCAACATCTGTGCAGCACTACCATCCATTGGTGTACCAATGATTCTAATGTGGTAGGGTTATCCACAAAAGACGACATCAAATTGGCAAGTAAAAAGATCATTTTATAATTCAATAATTTTAATTAGAAGTGGATGGCATATGACATATTTTATTAAAAAATAGCATGAAGAGAATCAGAAATGATTAAGTGCAGCTTATATTTACACAACCGTAACTTAAATTTGTGGATAACCTTGATTCGTGGATTGTAGTAATTACCATGCTATCTCATATATTAAGTCTGGTATGAGCTCACGAACCTGTACTAGTGTACTTTTGATGTACACACAATGCCACGTCTGGCTGACAAAAATGTTCTGAATCTCTGCACTAAACGTAAGTACACTAATTCTAATTGTCCAGCACTGATATAGTGGCCCAAGATCACTAATGCCATTAATACAAAATTTTATTTTTACAAATTGTCATGTAAAACAGATACCGTTACCACCAACCTTCTCACATCTCGTCGTATGCTTTTCTAGGTGTCAGTACTTACAGCAATGGGCTGTCGTACATAGTGATATATTGTAACCGACTACGTAATCCACGAAACAAGGTGACGCCACATTTTGTGTACACACGAATGGGTGATGACTGCAAGTGGCTTCAGTAAAAAAAACTCTTCATACTCGAGTGGAATATAAGGCATATTCAATTTTCTGAATCAATGAATAAAATAATCAGTGAGTATACAAAATGAAATCGTGCATTTAAAATATGATTTTCGCCGCACTTCCCTTATATCCATGAATCAAGGTTACGTGAATGTACTTATTTGAGTGGCTCATGCTTGATAAAGGTGTCAGCATCTACACTGAAACACTGCATCCATTGCATTAAAGAAGTTGTCTATCCATCAATAATCGTTACTAAGCTAATATTTAGGCAGTTGTTTTATATATATATTTTACAGCTGCTAAATCTGAAATCTGCAACACATCACTGAATTTAATCACTTCTATCAGTTCTATCACTTCTCCTATTTCCACAGATTGTGTCCGGATACTGTCCTTGGTGTAACCATTCTGGTTCTCCTGTTACCCACACTGCTGAGAGGTCAAACAGAATACTTGTAATAATAAAGTCAATTTATCCAGGGGAAGGGGCATGATAAATGATACTGAAGGTGGCCTGTATCATGCATATTGAAACTTAGGACTGTTTTTCTCTCACACATTAGTAACAGAAGAACACTTGACATACAGTTACCTTTAATTAATTCTTAAAAGATCATGAATTGAAGACAAATCAAAATACAATTCTTACACACATAACTTTAGTCATTTTCTAAGAATGACCCATCTCGGGAGTGTTCCATGTCAGAAATCATCAGCTATATGTTAAAAGTTATGCCTGGTGTCCTTCGGTGTTTGATGTGACACTGACACAGAACAAACTTCAATGTTTAATTCTGAACACTGAAAGGCAATAGAAACATTGGTTTTAGAATATAAAGAAAAGTGTTCACTATCCTCTTCCAAGGGCCACAATTAAATTTTGTTCATTGACATAGTGGTGAATAATACAGAGGTTAATGTCAACTGTATAGAAAAGGAGTCCTATAAAGATGCTGGTAGAGAGAGGCACTAGGGCCACTTTATGTTGGAAACAAAGAATGAAAAACATGGAAATAGTCGTGTTTCGCAAATCCCCCTTTAGCGATGTGGTATCTGTAAAACTCAAGTGTAATCAGTAAACATCTTCATGTCATTGGAAATAACATATCAACTAGTCCGCTGTGAAGCTCAAGTTGTAATGTTTAATTGGTGAAATTCAGGGCAAATGAAAATACAAAGTTTCCATTGTCTATCATATTATGAGTTTTCATATGCTTAATAAACATTCCATATTTTCTTGATTAGTCACATGGATAGCTGAACATTGTACTTACTTATAAAAGCCAACTATATGATCATAATGTCATGTTATCAGCTGACAATTTACAATGTTTAATGATGCTATTGATCATACAAAGATCTTCATTGACTTTGGACTCATTTCATTTGACTGGATTACATAAAGTACCATTTCATTCAAAAATAACTGTTTACATAAAAAATGGTGAAAACATTTGAAATGGTATGCTTATTTTGCCATATTTTATATGTGTACAACTTCTGCTTACTGTGCCCGCACTGTGATAACACCAATTTCACATCATTCCCAGCAATCACAATCTGATTACCATCTTGTCATCCATTGAAGATTTGCATTATAGATTTGTTGCAAGTCATATTTGACAATCAGATGCCAACATTTGTTTTGCAATCAAAGTGGTATGTACTGCGGGGAAGTCAAATGGTGACTAGTTAAACCATCTCCTTTATAAATGTATCCAGCAATGTAACAAAGTGCTATGCAGCTTATGCAGCGTTCAATGGCCATGTCATTCCTTCACTAACATTTTCCATGACACACTCAGTGACTGTGAAAATACGGGCGACTCATGTCGGCCCATTCATAAATATACAGCTGTAAAAGACATAACGAGTTTGTTTATGTTTGGCAACTCAGGCAAACTTTCTTCAAACTTAGTGGGCCTTTGCAAAAACACCAATACACTTATAGTTGCTGAAATGATTTATTATTCATTTGAATACTCTTAAGTCATGACTCTCAACCTGTGTTTCAAATGACAGTGCGAAATCTACAAATCTGTATAATGAGAAAAAACAAAGCTCTTAGGTTAGTTGTGATTGGTTGGTTTCATTTAGTGAACAAATCACATTCCATGTTGCAGTTTCACAAATCCTTGTTGCTATGGGGGCACACATCGGCTGTCAGCGGCTGATACCAGTCCAAAGTAAGGCTGGGACATGTAGGAAAAAATGGAATCGAGTACCTGCATGACATGTACTTACCCGAAACGGAATCGAGTACCCGAAATGTAAGGAATACAGTGATTTATTCAACAAATCACGAGTTGACAGAGAAAACTTGAAAGGATGGCAACAAGACTTTGAAACTGATCTTAAGCTGTTTAAATTACATCTGTTTAACTAATATAAAGAGAAACACCATTACTTTCATTCCTCGTTAAAACAAAAAAACTTTTCATTCCTGCTGTTACTGTAACTTCACTGCTCATGCGCAGATAAATTACAGTCGTGTTAATAATAACCTTCATTAATCGGACAATACCAATGATGTAAAATGTGTGTTAAATCAATAATGAAACAGGCAAGTTATTATCTTCCCTTTCGCTCCCTTTCCAGGTACTCAATTCCTAGAAACAGGACTCGATTCCAGCTGTACCTGACCCGGATTTGAATACCTGAGTACCTACCCCAGCTCTAGTCCCAAGTCTTGTTAGGCAACGATGGAAGACTTAAAAATGACTGAACAAAACTCAAAGTTCATGTATTTTTACTGATAGAAACATGAACCAACAAAAAAAATTCAACGGCACTATATATACACCAATATGTCCTAATTTGACATGTCACTGTCCTTATTTGACCGTCTAAACCCCCATGTCGTCTCATGTAATTCATTATTTAACTTCTTACAATTGTGCCCCGATTTGTCACTATGAGAGACAGTCACCAACAGTGTGCATGCTGCTCTCTATCGTAAAGCATAACGAAATCTGCCTTGTTCAGTGACATCAAAACTGTGCATGCTGCTCTCTATCGAAAAGCATAACCAAATCTGCCTTGTTCAGTGACAATGTAAACTGTGCATGCTGCTCTCTATCGTAAAGCATAACGAAATCTGCCTTGTTCAGTGACAATGTAAACTGTGCATGCTGCTCTCTATCGAAAAGCATAACGGAATCTGCCTTGTTCAGTGACAATGTAAACTGTGCATGCTGCTCTCTATCGTAAAGCATAACGAAATCTGCCTTGTTCAGTGACAATGTAAACTGACGCAAGCTGCTCTCTATCGTAAAGCATAACGAAATCTGCCTTGTTCAGTG